TAAATTCTTTTTTGGTTAAATTTAATTTATACAATGTAATATTAAATGAAACCAATTTTGGAAATGATTTAAGGTTACACGAAAAATGTGTAAGAAAGAAAATTTGAGGGTAAGGATAAAGTAATTTTTTAGAGAACAATAGAAAAGTTAAAGTTGTTTTTTATTATAATTCTGTCAGTTTTGGGGCTACAAACTTCTTTTTAGGCTTGTTTTGATCGGAAAGAGATGCTTTACAACTTTTATTAGGACAGTGTTATGGATTAAAAGAGTAACAGATGAGAAATAATTAGAAGTTTGATTACAGAAGCCAAAGGCTGTTTTAGCAGTATTAAACTGCGAGTTTGAAAGCTAAAGACCTATAACTTTCAGAGTATATGTAAAATTGTGAGCTAAACAAGTTTAATTAAGGCACCAAAGTTGGTTATCTTAGTATGATAACCGGGTATTAGTGATTTTGTTGCTGATAAATTTTTTGTTATTTTGTGTAAAAGGATTTACGAAAAGAGTTTTTTGTATTTTACAAATAAGATTTGTAGTACAAGTTGTTATGTATTATTAATAAGAACCAAATATGGAAATAATTAAGTTATATTAAATAAATTTCTATTTATAAATAAGTTACAGAAAATTTTTATATAAATTAATAAATTATAAATTAAGAAATAGAGGGTGTAGTGACTTAGTGAAGTGAATTTATTGTTATACTCCCAAGTGGTAGGTTGCGAGTTTAAAACCTACCAATAGTGAAATTTGAATAATCACCTATATAATATATAGACGATATTACAGCAACAGCATTCTGTCAATTAGTTAAGATATAATATCTGTAATTATAGTCACATCAGCATGACTGGCAGATCTGAGGCATCTGTATAATCTGTTATATAGAGGAATGCAAACTAGTACTAGGCAGTGCAAATCTAAATAAGTCTTCAGGCCATGTAAATTCATAAAACTAGAAAGCTGGAGCCTACTTGAAAATCCAAGCAAAAAGGTAACATAGATCTTTGACAATACTACTGTAAAGGCTAGATCTAAGAAATGGATACCAATGTAAAGAATTTGGGTAGGTAAGAACTTCAGGTAAGAGGTATTACCAATCAGGCTATCAGATTTTGGACCAGAGAAAAAGGATATTAGGCTGACCTCAATATACCAAAGACAGGTCACAGTCCTTTTAGGCTATCTGAATTGAAAGTCTGAGTTCAAAGCAAAGATATACTAAAAGTACTAGGAATATGCTGTAAAGTTAATACTAGAGTTTGGATAAACTCTGTAAGAGTAGTCTGTATTAGTGTTCTAAAAGTGGGTAGATAGTTAATAACAAGAAGCCTCCTGCATCTTACTGGCAGATAATATATTCTAAAATATATAACAGCCTAGGAACTAGTACAAAAAGGATAAGTAACTATACTGCTCAGATGGTATATCAGTTAGATATATATAAGAGGTAAGTTGGAGATTCCAATATGACAGAGCAAATGATCAGAGGGTTTAAATAGATAATCTCCTAATAGGTTATAGATATAACATCTAGTGTAGAACCTTAGAATGAACTACTTAAATAAACAACCAAAAGTTGCATATTTGACTAGCTGTACTCTCATCTTTATAAAAATAGTTGTAATAGCTAACTTAATATAAAGTCAATAAAGTAACATCGCAAGTATGACCTTTAACAAAAAAAAAAATATAAATAAAATAAATTAGGAAATAATAGTATAATTGCATGAAAAACATATAAGAGAAAAAAAGAATAGATAGGAACAAAAATAAAAGAAAGAAAAAGTTTTACAAAAGAATAAAAGAGAAATTTTATTGTAATTCAGCTAATATTGGTTAAAATTTTTCTTTTAGAGCTTGTTTTAATTAGAAAAATATATATAGTTACACCCCACTAAGTGCACGCCCCCTAAGTGCAAACCCTCTTTATATGCAAACTGTAACTCAGTCCCAAGCTCAGAACTTAGTTATCCTCCATATTTCACATATGCATGAGATTTTAGAGTTCTATGCATATATATGCATTCTCGTAAATGCATGCATGTAATTAATTTTAAAACTGACCAATAACAATACGTATCATATTTATTGTTCTAACATGCTCTAACTAGTTATATTGCACACAAAGTACAAGATATAAAATGAATCACATGGGACAGTATTAGATTTATAACCGATAAGTATTCAATTTTACCCATTTATCACTATTACAAGGTTATTCAAGGTTAAATAGTTGTTTTAATTCTAGAAGTGACCTGCTCACCTGGCTTTTATATTTTTTTTTCTAGAAAATATTATAGCTATTTTCATAATGTCTAGAACACCTACTTATTATCCAAAATCTTTTCAGTCACCCAGTAAATTATCTAACTCTTCGGCCAGGCAGTGATATGATTCCCAGAAAGTTTGATAATTTACTAGATAACCAAAAAGAATTTGGGTAATGAGTAGGTGTTTTAGAAATTATGAAAATAGCTGTAAGCTTTAAAAAAAACTCAGAAGCATTATATAAGATTTTGTATCAAAAAAGTTATGAAAGTTGATTTAGCCAGGTTATGAAAAACAATTAATTAATTTTATATGGCCTAATCAAGCAAAAAATTTAGATCTTTATTAAAGTAAACTTTATATAACTTTCCTTAAAAAACACCTGTAGATCATCTACAAAAAATTAATCAAAGAAATTTTTCTTCTAACATAACTTAGTCCTAACTCTAAAGATTTCATTATATATGATCTTTCGGTCTAATTGAATAAAATTATGAGAAGGAGGAAAAATTTTTTGTAGAAAAGCTATCATACTTTCTTAAAAAAATTAATCGATTTTACTTTGTTGCATTTGATCCATTTTTGTTTTATTAATGAATTTTTCAATTTTTCCTAAGATATTAATATACTTCTCCATATCATTTTGCTGAAGCAAAAATGTGCGCATAGTTTTCAGGCTTGTATTTGCTGTATCAATACTGACTATAGAGATTTCGGGACCATTATCTTTATCTTCTATGTCTTCTATACTGGTGATTGCTAGACTATTAGTTCTGAATGTTTTAACAAGTTTTCTAATAATTTCTTCATCTGAGGGAACTTCATAAACAATGTTCTTATTAGGAATTTCCAAAAATTCTTCAACTTGCATAGGGTAGGGGAGGCCAAAAATTTCAATTGCATTTGCAATATCGTTAAGCACAGGATCGATAGTTTAATAAAAATCTTCTGAGAGGCTTCATAAGTAGAAATTGGTATTGACAGAAAGAATTTTTGTGTGATACTAACAATTTTAAATTGTATTTGCACCAACTTCTTTCCAACTTTTAGCAATATAATGAATGGCTTGTAGCATACTCATTTTTAAATCTTCTGCATGCTCTTCTTTTTCGATTTCTTGTAGCATCCAGCTTAAAAAGAATATAATTAGTATTTTTTTTAAAAAAAAACATTGGGTTACTTTTTTTTTATTAAAAAAAAGTTTTATTTTTCTTTTTCTTTATTTATTTTATTTTATTTTATTTTATCTTATTTTATTTTATTTTTTTATTTTATTTTATTTTATTTATTTATTTATTTTTTCTTTTATTTTATTTTTTATTTTATTTTATTTTATTTTATTTTTTTTGATTTTTTATTAAAAAAAAAGAATCTTACTGAACATGATAGCGATGATAAAACCTCTTGAAGCTCATAATAATCCTGGCATCCATAGGCTAAATTTTTGAAGTTGTGTTTGAAGGTAAAAATTGAATATCAGTATATCGAAGAGTAATACTGCCAATATCATGGCTAGAGCAGTTGTCAAGAAGTAAGAGTACACATTGGCCATTATGATTAAGATCAACTTGTTGATCAAATTTTTCAATCCAATCTTGAAAAATGGATGTAATCATCCAAGCTTTAGCATTGTTTTTATATTCTATACCAAGTTTTTAACTTTTATATTTTTGAAGCAATGTGGTTTTTTAGATTTTCCAATTACAAGAAGTTTCAACTTATGTGAACCATCGACATTTGCACAAAGTGCAATCATTAGGTGTTCCTTGTTCTTTTTATGTCCAGAAAGACATTGAGTTGCTAATGTTTTATCAGGTTCCAACCTAGAGGTAAATTTTAGTAATGTAAAAAAAATATATAAAATATATATAGCTATAAGTAGGAATGAAATTTAAGTGGATATAAATTTAAGAAATTTAAATCAACTTAAATTCTATTCATACAACATATATGGACTGTCAACAATAGAAATCAAGCAGATTTATTAGATAAATCTGCTTGATTTTTATTGATAATAGCCATATAAAAATAGTGTTTATATTGATAAAAAAGACCAGTTTCATCTATGTTGTAGATTCTTTCAACAGAATAATTTGCACACTTATTTTTTATCATTGGTATGATATTGTCAATTGTCACCTTATTAGTGGATGTGTCTTTTTCTTAAAGCTGGCATAAACAAATATCATTTCGATTTTTGAATTTATAAAGCTAGCCAGAAGAGAAATTTAATGCTTCTTGAGAGATCTCCAAACCATCAGCAAGTGCCTTTGCTTTTTTGATAAGTAAAGTGTTACTTAAAACTGTCTGATGTTGATAAATTAGCATGAACTCCTTAAAGGCAAGATCAAGTTCTGTGTAAGTAATAGTTCTGTAACACTTTGCATTAGAGTTAACAACTTCACTTTCAAGTCATTATTTACTTGTCTTCAAGATGTGTGAAACTGTACTTTCATTAACTCTAAGACCTCATTTGTTCTCAATTCAATTAACATATTGAGATAGAGTTTTTTTATTTTCATAAGCATAGATACAAAATTCACATTTTTGAGCATTAGTAAAAGTTGTTCACTTAGGCTTTTTTTTTTTTTTAAACAAAAAAAAAAAACTGATCACTTTATAGAATAAATTATTTAAAGTTTTTTTTTTTTATTATTATTACTTTAAAACTAAAAACTTTTAATTATGTTTTTTTTTGTCTTTATAGTATTAAAAATTTTATATTACACAAAACTTGCAAAATTACCATACAGTATGGACTAAAATACCCAGGGTACTTTACAAGTTATCTACATATATAGGTATTATAGTCAGAAAAATACTATAATTAGTGTAGAAGATATAGGTTGCACTATATAATTGTTGTCAAGAGAAAACTTGACATTGAACTTCTAATTATACTAACAATTTAATATATGTTTTAGGCCTTTAAAAGTTGTAAAGGATATTATAAAAGAGGGTCTTTTAGCCCATGCTGTATAATACATGTCTAATTAAATTTGGTTCATGAGAAAAAACATTTTTATTGCATTTAAATGATAAGTTTAAAGAAGGCTGTTGGATTTATTAGGGTGGCCTTTATAAAACATGCATAAAAATGATATCAAAAAGTAAACATTTGGGTTATTGCCTGGCAAAACTATGCTTAGAGTATATATTTTTTATATAGTCTAAGCATGGTTTTGTCAAATAATTTAATTTTATTTTATAATAGTTATTATGAGTTGTTTGATAATAAAGTTTGCACTGCATGAGATGTTTATACACAATGTTCTACATAAGGTTTGATGTAGAAGTTTAGTTCTAGATACAAACCTAGAATTGAGCCAGAGTCAAAGTAATAATTTAATAAAAAGTAATTATAAGTTTTAATAATCTGAATTGAGTAAATTTATAAGAATGAAATTCAAATGAATTTATAGAGATAAAATTCTATAATGTTAATATGCAAGATTTGAATGATTAAATCTTCAATTGTGTGCTTAATGGTTAGATTTTCACAAATGAATTAAAAAAAGTTCTTAGAGCTCAATTTTTTGTTTTGAATAGTATCTATCTGATATTAAAAAATAAATTTATATATAGCATTGTTCAAAGTAATAAATAGTACCACAAGATTAAAAAATGATAGTAACACATATTTTTCAATTTTATGTATTGTACATAAAAAAAAAATCATTATTTTAACCCTTGGCATTGGTTCTTGTCTTCTATATAAAAATAAAAAATAAAATGCATAAAAAAAAAACATAATTTTGATCTGTAGCACCAGTTCTTGTCTTCTAAATATGGAATTTCTACCATGTTACTGTTATTCCCACCCTACTCATGATTAACTTTATTTCCAATTTTGGACTTGCTAAGTCTTCAAGAACTATATTAGAAATACGTATATATATATGCCTTAAAAATTTCACATTGAACTCAATTATAAAAAGTCAAACTCGTATATGATGCTCAATTTTTAATTAGCAGAACATAATTTGGATGGTCAAGTAATTTTGTCATCACAATTAAAAAAAAAGATGGTCTAGACCATCTTTTTTATCATAGAGTTATGTTTATTGGCTAAAATTTAAGATTCGCATTTCGTACTATGAACCTTTAGCAAAATTGTCATAAGAATGACCTCAATTAATTATAGTGCTTATGCATGATCTTGTTTACTAACTGATCACATTGAGGAAGATGCTTGAGAGCACTCTAAAACACTAACCCATATGACAAATTTATAATATATAATTAACCAGATTTTTATTTATTTTAATAATCAAAACTCTCTCTAAGTGCATATTTATCTCTAATTCTTAAATTATGCATTTAAAAAGGTTAATTCTATAAATGCATATCCTCTTTAAGTGCATAATTATATATGGTCCCTACTGTATGCACTTAGAGGGATGTGACTGTATTACAACTTTAATTAAGAGTATAAGATAGGTTAGTATAGTAGAAACTGAGAAAAAAAATTAATTGTTAAAACTGAAATCAAAAGCTGTTAGTACAGTTTTCTCTATGAGTTTAAAAGCTAAAAGTATAATATTTGCAGAATATATGTAATATCTAAGTTGAACAAGTTTACTTAAAACATTAGAACAAATTATTTTAGTAAAATAAAAAGTTATAAGCATTTTTATATAAATAATTTTTTAGTTAATTTTTTGTGTAATGGATTTGCAAAAAGAGATTTTTTGACTTAATAATTTATTAAAATATTTAGATATATATTTTAATGCAATAAATTTAATGAGTTTAGATTTTTATATTATTAAAATATATAGTTTAGTAACTTTAAAAAATGAATCTATAATTTAAGTAACAGATAATTTTTATAAAAAAGCTTAGTATAGTAATGTAGCAGTTGCTATGAATTCTGAAGCCTATTTGAATATTTATCAAATTAAGAAATTTTTTTTTTTTTTTTTTTTAACTTTGGCAACAATGCCAGTTGGTTTTTATTAGCTTAATTTGATATAGTACAATTTATGGTTACATTTTAGGATCGATTATTACTAGTACTATATACTATCTAATTTAACACCACTGACTTCACCCAG